CCCCAAAACCCCAAAACCCCAAAACCCCTTTAAGGGGGGATGATTGAGGTTTAATATAATTTTGGGATTATAAATGTTATGTGGAAATAAAGTTTATGAAGAGGGGTATGCAAAGATTTTAAGGTAAATGGTGGTTTTTTGGGGACTCTGGATGTACTTGGAATTAATAATTGCTTGAATAGATATTTTAAGATATTCAAAGTCCATTTTAATTCGTATATTGTTGATATTTCATAATAATTCAAATTTTATTATATAAAATTACAGCCAATCCTTTTATCTCAGCTAATCTATTCTGTACTTTGTAAAAATAGCATACTTTGCATTATAGAATTCTAAAAATAATCCGATTCCTACCGAACTAAGCTTTCGCATTCGCTTGTTTCACAAAAATCCTTAAATTGCAATTCATTTTTAAGGTAGCCCTACTCAGGAAACTTTCTTCGAATATTTAATTTTCTCTTTAATAACTGATTTTACCAAATTCCTACTTGAGTGCCCAAATTTACTATTTTCTCTGATAAATAGGCTCTATTTGGTCTTGAGAACCCAAAATCTGATAAATTCTGAACTGCGAGCAAATAGTCTAATCATTCCTAATGAAATAGTCTAGAGAAGTCTCTTCTAATAGAGAGCAAAGAGCAAGACTTTCAAAGATGTGCTAGTATACACTCTAATATTTACTCACATGAAATATGGGCGAAGCCATTAGTCCCAGGAACTAGAGTACATCCTGATGAATACTATTCTCTTTCTTCAGAAAGTCTGACAAGTGTAAATTTTGCCAGAAAGCTAAATAAGTTAAAGTTCTTTGATATAGATCATATTTCTATAAGTAACTTTAACAGTAAAGCTAAACATTTCTCGAACTTCTTAAACTTTTCATTGCCGAATAGAGCTAATCGTGTGAATATTTCATCAACTAATTTGGTTAAGCTGAAGAGCTCCCGTTTCTTTATTCCAGAGATCAGGAGTAGTTCCAAAACAATAAAAGCTGTATTTTTTAATACATTTTGGTTTAACCGCAGACAATTAAAAAGAGTGATAACATCTTTCAGACATGTTGAGATACTAGGTTTGGATTATTGCAAGTTATCTGTTCCCAATGCTCCCGATTTCTCAAAAGCTCTCAAGAATTGTCAGATCAACAATCTAAGTTTCTGGGGATCAGGCCATCCCAAACTCAACAATTGGGTGAACAACCTTGATGAATTCAAGAACTTGATTCAAGGCTTTGCAAGCTCTCCAGATTGAAGGTTAAGCCTCAAAACTGTATGAATCAAGCGTTGAGGAATAGAGGTAAACGAAGCTGAACAAATCTTTGCAGAAAACCAACTTGAAGGAGTTGAGATATTTGGAGACCTTTAAATTTCTGCTAAAATATTATGTAAATCTATACCTAATCATGTTGGGTATCCAACCCATCTCTTCCTACTTACAATTTTATCTACAAAAGAGTTAATAACTACCAAAATCCTTTCGACTAAAAATTCTTTCATTTCTCCAGAAATTCTTCAACCTATCCCTCTAACCCCACTATCTTATCTCACCATGAGTCTCAGCCAAAGCAGTAAATTCCTTGAAGAAATCGAAAAATAATTGTTTTTAAGATTTTAGTGTGATAAATGGGCTAATTGAGAATTTAGGAATTTTTATTTGGAAATTGGAATTTTGGGGGGGTTTAAGGATGAAATGGAAAATAAAGAGGAAGAAGGAAGGGTAGTGGGAAGGTAGGGGGAGGGGGGTTGGTTAGACGCTGGTTTTAAGAGATGGGGTTGTATAATGCTTGCTGTCTTGTGTTGAGGGCTTAAAATGTTGATATTGCAGCAGAAATTTGTAATTTATCACTTTGAATACCCTACAAATATCTTCATATTAAAATATTATTCTTAAACCAATGAAAATCTAATCCTGGCTAATTTCTAAGCCTATTACGTTTACTCTTGCTTATTGTGCTGATTACAATGCACAACTCCTGGGTTTGTGACTTTTTTGTCTTGCCAAAAAGGTGTGGTTGTTGGGATACAATTCTGCTGAAAATTCTGAATTAAAAGATGTATTCATATGCTCTGTTTAATTGTGTAGTCTAGAGAAATCTCACTGATCAAGAGCAAGAAGCAAAACTATAAATCCTGCATCAACGCTCACTATAACATTTTGCAAGGAAAATTCATCCTCAGCTTATAGATTCAAGACCTGGGGAAGACTTGATGTATGATAGATTTCTGGCTTCTTATAAAAGGTTGACGACTTATTTCAGACATTTAAAGGAATTAAATATCGGATATTTCACATTGTCTGTTCCAACAGTTCCTGATCTTTCAAAACCCCTCTCAAATGTCCAGATTCAGAAGATGAATTTATGAGGATCAGGAGAATTTTGACACACCTATTGGAAACCTGTCCTGCTGAGTTCAAGAACTTCATGCAAGGTTTGACAAACTCTTAAGATTTAAGATTAACTCTAAGAACAGTGAAAGTCATTAGATATGGAATAACAAAAGCTAAAGCTGAAGAAATCTTTAAAGAAATTAACTTTAGGGAGTCGAAAGAATTTTTACTATTAAATTTATCCCAATTTTTATCCTTTCTCTATAAAGTGGAACTTCTTATCTACATTTAACATATGGATAGACTTTAAAGCTTATTTCTAGATTCTTTCAATTTGAAGATGAGCTACCGGGGTTTTGGGGTTTTGGGGTTTTGGGGTTTTGGGGTTTTGGGG